CCAATCTATGCTGAAAAGCCGAGAAGCTTCTCGGCTTTTCAGCATAGATTGGCTTCACTTACAGGACGAAATCTCCATAAAAATCCCAAATCTCCTCACACTACCAACTACTGTTGAAGCATGCAAGTAGCCAGATGCCCAAGCTCCGGCCCCAAATCCGATGGAAGGTAAAGGTTACTACGGAAATTATGGAAAAACTTTGGGGTGTTTGTTTATTATTGTTTAGTATACAATGAACGCCCAGGAAAGTTGAAAAAGACGCTTGAGAATGTTCACTTTTCAAAAACTCTGTGCAGATGAGATGTTCGTGTTCGCTACAAAACAACTTCACAGCGAAAGACGCCTCTCCTACCACTAGCATATCCTAGTGGAGCAAACCAAGTAGGGTAACGACCGCCTGATAAAAAAAGCCTGAGAATAGTCAAGAGATATGTTAGTCACAAGGCAGGCCTTTCAAACTGTCCCTAACGTCAGCCTCACTAAGGCTTTACTAATCATAGGGCTCACGTTACATACCCAGCTGAATGAAGTAGAGAGGTGAAGATGAATTTCTTTAAAAAAGACGTGGATGAACTCCACATTCAATCCACTGAAGGCGAGAAAAGCAGGCATCTACCGTTTTCCTTTACAAAGCAGATCGATACTAATGGTTGCTTCACTAAGGGATGGTAACGGACTGATCCAATTCTGGAAGAGTGCACTGTCACAATCATCAGTATCGACAGCATGACATCAGTGTTCAACACCGATGCTTCGCTGCCGTACAACCATGACTTATTTGAAAGCCTTATTGTAAACAAAAGAATAAAGGTGGATGGGGGAGGGACTAAGTGCTAGCTTAACACAATCATTCCGAGGTGCCTACACCTCCAAACACCCGTTCAGGAAATCTGGATAAAAACTGACAACAAGAACGCCACTGATATCGGTTGGCAGCCATATCTTGTAGTGTCACCAACCAGGCACAGTGAGGATCACGCGGTCCCCATCCTGGAAGGCGAGTAGCACCGACAGCACCCAAGCGTTTCGTGATCTCCTTCATACCACTTTGTCAGGTTAAGGGCTAGTCATCTGTCTGCTTCCGCCACTCTGAGTTGGTCATGGAAAACAGCGCTCTCTTCGGCAACCAATGGTTAGACATACGCAGCACATGCCCCAGCCAACGCAGCTTCTGGTGCTGGACACATTGTTCAATGGATGTACCCGTTGCACAACCGAAAACTCGCCTCGTACTTGCCTCGTTACGGATACGCCGACACCAACCCACACGAGCTATGATCCTGACCCAGCGATTGTCAAACACCTGAAGACGTCTTAGCTCCGCTCCTCGAACAGGCCAAATCTCACAGCCATACAACAAAACAGCCCGTACTGTAGCTTGATACACATGTCCCTTGAGATTCAGGGATACACCACTTTGACGCCATAGGTGTCTCGAATTAGAAAACGCGACCCGAGCCTTGCTGATTCATGCACTGACCTCATCTGTCACGCTACAATCAGAACTAATACAATTTCCAAGATACAACTTCCATTGCCTCTCCCTGGATTGTAAGTGGCGTGTTCAGTGACTGCACGTCCACAAGCATGACCTTACACTTTGTGGGTGCAAAGTGCATACCA